TCTTAGAATATATAATAAAAATAAAATAATTGTCGACCGATCTGGAACACAAGTTCCTGGTCTAAAGTACAGATTTCCACCCATTTAGTTTCGAGATTGGTGCAACAAAATTGATACCTATCACATTGACAATGAAAAACATTACGGGAGTGTGTGTACTGTTTTTATAATTTTTCGTTATCACTTCATTGTGTTTGTTGAATGTCATATAAAAATCTAGTGAACACTCAATGAATTGTTGAAATGGGGTTTATTTGGTATTAAATATGCTTAAATGTCGCTAAAGACTAGAATAATTATATGAGAGATATGTAAAATATTTTATAACAGCTCCTCTAAGATATCGCCAAGAACTAGTAAATTTGGTATTCTTGAGGAGAAATTCCAGGAGCACCTACATTATTGATTTGATCTGTTATCTAAATTAAATTTCAATATTCCACGACATTTGCTGAGAGCTAGCACTCACGTATTCAATCTAGAGCAACAACATTTCATAGGAAATAGAAAAGAGAGATCAGGATTTATTTTATTTCTATATTCACACACAATTTCGAAAAAAAATCCAGAAAGGTTTTTTTTTAAGCGGCAATTTGATTATTACAGTTTATACCTGAATTTGGTAATAATAATTCGTGGCATAAGTGGAGTGAGTTTCGAAATGACATAGTAATAGAATATCTGAGACACGTATGATTCAATCAATCTTGTTTTGTGTTTTTATATAAAAATGGAATCAATAGATTGTGGACGCGAATTTGGAAACATGAGTGAATTCGTATTCGAATTCTTGCAGAATCGCTCTGCAGTACCTATCTGTTAGTAGTTGCTTCTTATGAAATGTACAGATTTACGATGATGTGGATAAGAAAATCGATAAATGACTAGGGATGGAGGGATGGTAATATAAAAACTTGACGGTCATAAATCTGGCTGGCAAATAAAATTGATTTAACGAAATCTATACTAATTTATAAAGAGGAATGTTTCTGGCATCGAATACGCTCCGCAACTGCTGCACCGATTTTCAAATCTATTTTACCTATGGGAGCTACATCATACGTGGTTGACATAGGCTAGTTCATCATAATATTCTTGTGTTCTATGAATACCTTCAAAATACTTTTATCGGTTCAAATTTTAAATAAATTTACCTACGGATTGGTCGCGAGTTTATTCAATGTACTGTATGTATGACATAATTTGGGATGTCCCTTAAATGATCAAAAATATATATTTTTTTTTGTAAATTTGTAATTCATACCCGCTAAATTTTTTATGTACTTTACTATAACATACTTAAATATAAAATATGAATTTAAATATAAAATAAAAATTCGCAACCCGTGCCGACAGACTTTTAACCTGACATTTTGGTTATCTTTAAAATTAATATAAATAAAACTAATTAAATTTAAAAAGAAAAATTAGACAAGCATAACGTTAATCTTTATAAAAAAAAATAAACAGTAGTTTAGAGTAACTTTTCTTTAGTGTTATACATACGTACACTTTTCTATATTCTTGAACATTGCGCGAGAAGAAGTATTTTCTTTTTTAGTTCAGCCATGATATAATTTTAGTAAGTTATATAACAGAACAGTAAAGTTGAAAATATTTGAGACACTAAACCAGTTTTTCCTTCGGTAGGACAAAGCGTTACCCAAAATATCAGCTTCTATACCCTTTTAAGATAACAATCATTTTTATTTAAGTTTGGTTACCAACTTCGTCATCCAAAAGTTATAGAATTTTATTGTCTGTTCACATAAAATAAACGAGTGAGGCTCTCGAGTGATTTTTAAACTTGCATACCTATAGCAAGCATAAAGAAATATTTGCTTCAATTTTTTGTATTATTTTTAACCTCTTTTAAGGTAACATCAATTAGTTAATATATTTTTTTATTTGTATAACAAACTAGATCAGTGGATTTATTTAATTTATATTCTTAAATGTTTATGCACAGATTCACTAAACATACTACAATGATTTTACATAACTAATTAAATTATAATCAATTAAATTAACTAATTAAGGAAGTCCTGTTCTTCAGCAGTGGAGATATTTAAAAGCTGATGATGATGATAATTAAATAAATTTTCACTTAATTATATACTAAATAAGCAAATATATTATGGAGTTTTTAAGTCCTTTGCAATAAATCTTTGTCACTGAACTAAAGCAAACATGTTCTAAAGAATAGAACGCCCTTATTTATCATCTACTTAAAGGTATCAATTTGCAGTAAACAAATACATTACAAAACTATATAACGTTTCTTGAAAGTGAACTGAATCTTTCTTGCCGCTCCCACCAAACATGATATAAAATGACAAGTTTCTTTGTGCACTTAGTATAATGCATTAATGGTAATTCTCGCTTTTTCTAATTACAAGATTTGTACTTTCACTGACGGTTAACTTGAACCGTTGACGGTGAAATATTGCCAATGAGACGGTAATTTGGTCCAATTTATTTCAGAGCTTGATAAATGCAACTAGGCAAATATTTTGTTTATCACTTCGTAATCGTTTGATTTGATTTTTTTTTCATTTTCTCCTCGTTTCCGGAGAGCAAGTGAAAATAAATCAACAGCATACAGCTATACAAATGATAATGAACAATCGCTTTTGTTGGTGTTTAATGCGTGCGTTCGCAAACAAATTTTGTGTTTAAAATAAAATTGTAGCTATAGGTCAATCATCAAAAATATTACAACTAGTGTCCGACCGACAGTATTTAGCAAACAAGAGACAGAAGACAAAACAGGTAACCGGGTTAATTATATAAAGATTGTAACAATAAATTGTACGTACATTCAAATAACGACATTTTTTGGCAGTCATAAGTTCTTAAAGAATATGTCCAAATTCAACTCTTGCTAAATTTCTTCGGATTCAATTTAAGCTTAAATCCGATGATTCAGTCGGACTAAAAGTTATACCCACAAAAGCGATCTTATAAGATTGCTAATGATGAATATTAAAAAAAAAAATTCGCATCGCTTTTAATTCGCTTCGCAAATAAAACATAGCTGCTACTAACATTAATAATGAAATGAACACGGTGTGTAATAAGCGAATAGTATCGGTTTTATAATTTTCTAATACGACAAGAAGAGTGAAATCAGTGAATGTAGCCATTATAATGTCGATCGAATGAGAAATATCGCAATTGATGACTAGTTATTATAAACGCAAACAAAAAGGGACCTAACTAACAACCCAGTGGTACCGCTTGAGTGTTGGCTTTTCATTTCACATAATACTTTAGTTCAGTTTTACATATCACAGTCTCCGTTATATTAAAATTTACGTTTCGATTGATTCGGTGTGCATGTAACAGATTGTTGACTAATGTAAGACAACAAAAAACTCGTTCCTTCAAACGAATTCTGCCACTTGGGCGAGATTTAGTGCCATCTGACGAACTATGTTTGTCTTTTACTTCTATATCTATATGAAAATATGCTAATTTTATTTTAAATATTTTTTGACTATTCATTGTTTATTTTTTTCTTTAAACGTTGTTAATACAGAATTCATAAATCTAGTCTATTGTATGTCGAGCGATATGTTATATCAAAATTAATGGTCAATTATGGTATACTTAATATGAATATTTTGCACTGCATTCCAGGTTTTTATATATTTTGTATAATTTCAAAAACCAATCAGTGTTGACTTACTTTGATGCTTTAAATTTATCTTGACTCTTTTTTACCATTTCTATTGCGGTTTTAGATGTGTATTGCGATGTAATACTATATGTATTCATAAATAGTATGATTTAATTCTCTTGTTGTATTTTCTCAATAATAGGTGTCATAATGAATCTTAAATCGGACCCTGCAAAAGACGCAGAGCAAAGGTTATATTGAATTAATATGAGACGATAAAAAAACACAGTATTCTAACACATATACAAATGTCTCTATCTTTGTCGTCTTATTTAAATACGTATAATTTTGAAAATATTTGAAATATTGTCCACGGTATAACAAACTTCCCTTGTCTCATTAAATAACTTATTGGTAATTGTTAGAGGAGGTATGTATATAATTTGAGGTGCTGATATTTGAATAGCTTGGAAGTGATTCCGCTGATTCACATTGTGTTGATTCAGTTGGTTCTGTTCCACCTCTACTGTATGACCTTCCTCGAATAACCGATAAATACTACAAAGGTCTAAACAAAATGTTAATTACCATTAATTTGTGTACGCATAACAAAAGTAGTTGTTGTTAAATCATAACCTCTTTATTGGCGTGAGAATTGATCATTAGGTACTGCGCGAATATTTAAGTACCTCTAAATTTAGCACGAGTGTCATATCGTGTTTTAGCGAAAATGATTATTGCCAGTTCGTCAGTGGCCCCGCGGCGTAGGTTTCTTCGTGTTTTATGTTGTTTTTATGCACCTTCACTGGAGACACGCAACAATGCTCCATGCATCACCATTCGATTTCATATTTCCATTTCGATTTTCTCTCCATGCATAACGATCGCTCGCACGAGACCAGCTACGACCCCCGACTGTCGCAGTTCGTCTCGCCCCGCGCCGACCCAGTTTCGCAAGCCGAAAGTTTTAAATGTACAGAAAATAATCCTTCAATGGGAACATTATTCGTATGAGCCCCATATAAGGAGTCCTATTTGTACCTTATTAGTAAACAAGTTCTTACGAGTTCGCTGCGGCCTCGCTGAACCGACTGACCATTTAAGATTGAAACATACGCCGTTGACGTCGCAAAGTTTGCAGATCTGTCCTGGTCAGTCGCATTTCATTTATTGTAATAAAGAGTAACTCTATGAAAAATATGCGAGCGGAGGCGCATTCCTGGCTCCCGGCGCGCGGCGCCCACGCGATCCCAGAATAGGCGCTCGGGAAAGCGCGTGCACAAATAAAGCTAGCCGGGAAACCAGAGACGGGCCGCTGCAGCGCGCCGGCGCCTGCGCCTGCGCCTGCGCCGGGATGCCTCTAAGCCTAACTCCGTACCTTGCTGTGTCATCATCTGGCGCGTGTAGTGGTGCTCGGTGCGCTGCACGCTCTCCTGCTGCACCACATGCTCGCGCCGCTCCGAGTGCTGCTGCACGCTGCGCTGTTCGCTGCGCTGCTCCGACCACCTCGACTGCTTCTCCATCTTGCCGCCACCGCAGCACAACGCACAAAAAAACTCTCACTCGACGCTATGTCCTCGCACGGTAGCGTTCGCCACCCGAATAACTTATACGCCACTGTTCAAAACTTGTACTAGTCCACGGGTTCATTTAGCAGAAGTCAAGTCATTATAACCCAAGTCCAACAACCAAGACGTCGGTCGATTGCAAATAGTTAGCGGATAGTGCGGCGGTCGGATGCGCGCGCGCCAGCAGTCCGCGGCGGGTGGGGGGCGGGCGCGACCGAAATACGCGGTTATTTCGAGACGAGCGCACTCCCGCGGCCCTCCCCGCCCCCCCACCCGTTCCTGTCACCCTCGGGCCGTCAAGAATTCGCGCGGCTCCAGGATCCCTGATCCTCGAGTTTGATGCAACTTTGAAGTCACATAAAGAAATATTAAATTACAATATACGTATGCCTGCGATACAGAATATTACACATTATCTGAATACAAAACGAAAAGTTTTATTCTATGACAAATCATGTAAAAGTAAAAACTAAACAACAGGCCTTGAAAAAATATGTTACTTATTAAAGAGTTAAAAAGTTGATATCATGAATATTTTTAGATATGGATCTTTATTTGTCTCTTATTTTTATCTGATAGAAACGGGCAGCTATTATTAAGGTATAATGCTATAAGACAATTTTGAATTTATATTCAAGATAATAAACATTTTAGTCCACAATGTATGATTGATTACGGTCTAATACAAGGTTAGATTATAATTTGGTTAAATAGCAGAAGTAGTAATATATACAGGGCAGTATCTACGAGTACATAGTATTGTACTAAGTACAATATATAACTCAAATGCTCTTATAAGTTGAAAATTTTTATTATTTATGATACCAGAACAAAAAGTTTTATTAGACATATGTATATTGAAATTCATAGTTTACTTTTTTAATTTACGCAAATTTTTATAAATGATGTACGAAAATATTTCATTGTTAAGAAAATGTAACACGTTATCAATTACTTATTATTATATACTTAATGAATAATTTCCCGGAAACCTCAGGTTCCGATAAGCTCACATTAGGGAACTCCATTATAAATTATAATATAAAATCCAATACTTCAGACTTGTATTAAGGTTTACGACAACAATGTACCTACTATATATTTTTCGCTTCTAAATCCTCTTGGAAAATTTTATAGTAAACTAAAAGAAATTAGCGATAGTTACAGCTTATATTAATATTAAAGTTATCAGCGCCGTATGAACAGAAGAGTTCAAAAATGTTAAGAGGCACTTTGAAAAGATCGCTGTCACAGTTCACACGCTGTCCTGTGTACCTGCGTATGCGCAATCCAACGACATCAACGCAGAGGCCGCGTAGAGCTTTCCTCATAAAATCTAGTATGATATATTTTTATTAAGCTGGTGATTTTACTTTCTTAGTATTGTGCAGTTTATACTATATATTAGGATATAATTAAAAATACTAAAATATAACACATATTTTAATTATAATAGAGTAAGTAGTAAGAGCATTTTTTTTTAAATTACTAATATTATCTAATTTAGCAATAAATAGTTATCGGTTCATTTATAGGTAATTTATAGGTACATTATAGGTGCTTATGTTGAATCCTGTTCTTTTTATAACTTTTCTATAACTAAGTTTGTAAGTTTGTGTGTCTTAGTACCTACCGATTTTGTTTCATCTTGATACTTCATAATATGTATGCTATAGGTACTCACTTAAATCAGCGCAATGTATGCGATGTTGTCTAATATTTATGAATTTAATCATTATACTGAGTCTGAAGTGATACTAGTCAGAAGAAATTGCATTGTAAGTACTCGTACCTATAAGATCCGTGCCAGATGAATGTGCTTCTGTCACGAAACTTAGTTATTTTGTAAATAAACAAATATCACTATAAGAAGCTACTAATAATATCTATAGCTCATAAAATTAGGGAATATTCTGAGGATACAGTTATAAAGTAAAATTGCCATCACCTGACAAGGCAGCTTTATTAGGAATGTGTCAATATAAACATTAATGAGGTTCAAATATGACTAAGATCTTCAAAATGTGCATCATATGAATTAATTATTCTCTTTAGGTTTAGACTAAACGTGTTCGTTAATTGAAATGGCGCCTTTTAAATAAAAAACGCATTTGCGCGGTTAAAACCATAGAGCGATAAGTTATTAGACATATGCTTTGAGTAATAACTTATTTATTTGAAGTACCGATAAATTATATCTACTTTCATAAGCGATGAAGACTGCGCCTTGAATGTGCAGAAATCGAATTTGAGATGTATTATTGCGGCGGTATGGTCGTGTCACCCAAACGGACACGTTGATTGGCTGTTCTACTGCGTCATCCCGTGCGCGATTGGTTCGCTCAAATCTGCCCGTGCAATTATCCCCTCTCCAAAATACTCGTTAGTAGTGACACGGTTTTTAAATTCGTATATTCGGTATCTGGCTCAATCACTGGTTTCCTGTCGGTGTCATCTATGAAGTTGTGGATTTAAGTTCCAGCCAATCATAGAATTTCAGGATTAACAAACGAATAAAGTTTATTGTCTGCTGTTTAAGGAAATTCTATTCAAGATGAACTGGAAATTGTACACTAAAATATTTAAAAACAATTGTTGCCATCCTAAATCCGCGCCCGTCAATATTCACATAGCAAAGATATCGACATAAAACACCGGTTTGACAAGCTGAAACAGCAATGATTCAACAACAACATCGTTCAGTTAACGAATTATGGAGTGGATATAGAATTTGGAGAACTCCACGGGTAGAAGCTGGATGAAAAAGGAACGCTAAAACGAAGATGGAGCGCCAAAGATTCAGGGAGGGATCCAGCAGTCGACTTCTTGTAGACAATTGATGTATTTATATCGTATATGATGTATTATATCGTAATAACATTTACGTGGTTATTGATGTAGATTTTGCTAAAGATCGGCAGTACAGTGAGGATCCATTCCTAACTCTCTTTATTCGGGACGGTGATTCATTTCAGGTGGATCTATCATTTTACTGCAGCAGGTCACAAGACATACAAATAGCGGTATCCGGAGCTCTATATTCCTTGTGTTGAGTTCCTTGATGGCCGCAGATTTTCATGCGGTTAACGGTGGAATGTGTGATTTATTGAAAAACTGGGCCTTATAATTTTTTTTTCTGTCAAGTTTGAAAATTATTGATGGAGATAAAATCCTGCCGACGCCTTCGGAGTGCTTTTTACACGTAAATCTTACCCGTTTTTGCAGAACGTTTCTAACAACTGTTCGATCAAAAATATTACATATGTAATATTAGAAATATTTCTAATACCACTACTTTAGGGCCGGGTCCTCCTTGCAGGATACCCGATCTGAGTGAGGTTATGAGGTACAACAGCAGCGGTTTTTTCTGTACCTAAAACTATGTACGCTTTGTATTTACCCCACTGATCAGATAGCCCTGTTTTGAGGCTTAAGGTACAATTCTCCTGCGTTAATAGAAAAAGGACTACTACGTTATATCCTAGCGCCTCCATTCAAAGAAGTTTGGTTCTCGTTTAGTAGTTTAAGTAGTTTTTGTTCATTTCTTTGATTTATAACATAATAATAATGTTTATAATGCATGTAATTTAATGCAAATGCGTGTTTTGTAAAAAAAGAGCAGTGAATCTCTTTAGATCGTCCCCCGTGGCGTGTCGTGACGCATTAGCTATTTTTGGACCACATCGTTGCAGGAGTCAGCTGAGCTGGCCTCTGACTCCCCAGCACGAGTCGTGATTAATACTTCATATTTATAGCTGGCAATATTAATTGATTCATCCGTAATTATTTATATTGCTCAAATAAGAGCAAGAGCTAAAGTACTGTGATATTTTTTTCGTCTGCTTTATTTCTAAAATCAAAGTCAAAATAATCTTTATTCAAATAGACTATTTAAAAGTGATTCTGAATTGTCCAATTTTTTTCCCCATCACTAGTTCAAAACGTTTAGCCGATAAGATGAACGGCAAGAAACTTCGAACTTCTATTACTTTTTTTATTAAGGTACGGCCAGTTGATTCTGAATCAAGAGCTGACATCGATATAAACATTAATGAATAGTGTGGATTCTGCTGTACCACTCTCTAAACTAAACTTTAAAAAATCGAATTTTTGGTTTATTGAAAAGTATTATTCTGATATGTAGTTTAGGTAACAGCAGTCTCTTATTATACGTAATCTAGGAAATATCCTGTACATTATAAATATAAATAAAATCCCGTCTCTTATCTTAGTTGTTTGCAGAATTGACAACGCAATTTGAAAGCATTAAATATTTACGCCTGGGCAGGCATGCTCCGTTTGCAAGATTGACAAAACCAATTTACAGCACAAAAGTGGATGAATTTAGAAGCCGCAAAAAGCCCGATACACATATTTAGATTCAATTTATCGACTTTAAGAAAGTGACGTTAACCCATTAACTGGCGAGCATTTATGAAAAGTGTAATGAAGGTTGAGGAAGCGAAAGATGTTTGTAGAGACAACGTGTTCTGGTGCTAGGTCCTCTCCTCTCCGCCTACCCGCAAATGACCCGCCGTAAAGTTATAGAGAGATATAATTAAAAATAAAATTTGGTAAATTTTAGCTTGGCTTATCCCTCTTATATTAAATGGAACGAACAGAAAACAAACATCAAAAGATTAGTGTATACTCTTGATTTTCATAATGAACTATTTTTAAGATGCAATATACCAAAACTTACATAGTCAATGGAAAGTCAAAAATCTAAGGTGAGTTAAACAATAACCCAGAGTTTTCATGTTAATCAAGAATATATATCCAATATTGACTCATATTTCCACTCATTCCAGCTTTTAATTTAGGGTATATCTATTTAAATTTAAATGATAATACATTACGTATGAACGTAATAACATTATTATATATTTTTATCACAACTTTCCTCAGCTAGTGTATCTGATTTTTCATTTTCACATTGAAAGTTTAATTTTTTACAGCTAAAAATATATCATTACCAACCATTGTTAACGTTTGTGGTAAGGAAATTTCGAGATATTAAATAATATATTTATGTATAATTGATGTGTAAATTTGATTCTTGTTAATAAATTCGTTTTGTGGGTGCGTCATCGCGTTAAATTACTGCTGTCAGTGCACATACGTACATGCGGAGTGCGCGCGCGCATTCCTGCGCAATGC